CCACGTGAGACCCTCGGAGGATTTTTTTTAGCAGGAATTTGATCCTTTACTTAGGCTCCCCCTCCTAACTCGAGTGAATGGAAGGAGAGTTTCGTGCACTGCCCCACAGATGCACGGCCCTTCTGAATGTGTTTGGAAAAAGAGCTTCAGAGTGACAAAGAGCCTGCACCAGGGAACCTGGGCCGACCGACCTCTGACTAGCTGTGTGATACCTTTGTGTGTGTTACTTGCTTGTGTAAATACTTGTTCACAAGTACTGCAACGTCAGACACACAGAGCGAGGACTTCTGTCCCTCAGCCTGACTCTGCCCTGATCCAGCGCTCTGTGGGCAGCTTGTTACCCATCACCACTAAGGGTGTCCAGCCCTCCGGCCAAATCCATGGCAGCCCCTGGGAACAGCCACGTGGGTGTGAGTCTCCCTGAACTCAGTTTGATCTCCGTGGCTCCGCTTTCCAGGACTGAGTCCTGGAGGACCTGCTGGACCGGAAGGGCCCAGCTCACGGGGCATGGAGGCCAGGGAGCGGTGGCCCCGGAGGGTGAGAGGGGTGTCCAGTGGCACTCGTGAAGTCTCTGTCCTGGTGGGTTCTCGAAAATGTCCTCCTGTGCAGAGAGGGCCAGAGGCAAGGGAAGAACAGAACGAGGGAGTGGGGCGAGGGCTTTCTGACAGGTGATAAGTGGATTTGGGCAAAGCTCGAGGATGAGTCAGGAAAACCGCCCAAAGGCAGAGCTGCTGGGACAGGGCTGAGCTGAGCAGGTTTCTAAACTCCTTGCCGAGGTCTGAGGAGCAAGCACCTTAGGGACTCCAAGGCCCCTGGAAACAGACAAATTCCTTACACATCCCCCCAGTGCAAAGGCCCGGGAGTCTGGAAGATGGGGTGTGGGCAGAGGAGGGACGGAGGAGCGCTAGTTAGAGGAGTTGGGGGGAAAGAACAATTTCTTACTTTGATCAGGTTAAGTCTGTCATACTGGAAAGGAAACCACACAAATTAGGATTGAACAACAGGGAGACAGTCAAAGGGGAAAAGGCGTGCCAGAGCCACAGAGCCCAAGACACCGCACACCCAGCACAGGGAGGCACAACGCGGGGGCCAAGCAAGGACCTGCCTGGGCTCCTGGCACCGCAGCGCCCGGTTCCAGAGCTGGCGGAGCAGGAAACGGCTGCGGGCTCCCCCTGGCGGCCACAAGCCAGCACTACAGAGCGGAAGCTGGGCGGTGGCACAAACGAAGGGGTCCTGGAAGAGACCTGGGCCTTGACGTGTAGCCCAGGGCTCTCGGCAGGGCTGGCCCAGGCAGGGCCCGCCTCAGCAGGGCAGCTGCAGAGTCACAGGAGCGGGGCCTCGCCAGCTACCTCGTCCAACCCCAGTGTACTAACACACGAGGAAACGGGGGTGCAAGAGAAGGGCAGGCAGACAGTGTGAGCGAGGCCTGGCTTCAGGGAGAAGTGGCGGCTCTCTCCAGCCGGCCTGAAAAATATGAGGTCACCTCGTCTAGTGCACAGGATGCAGGGGGCAAGGTGGCCCGGCTGTGAGAATAGTGGCAGTAGCTCTGGCCACCAGACCCCTCACGGTGGCTGCATTTGGTCAACCTGAGAAAAGGCTCTACCGGGGGAGGGGTATCCCTACCACAAGACGCCCCCTCCCTCTGCTCACCTCACCCCTGCAGCTTTCCCTAGCTCCCTGCTCCTGGCCCTGACCGCGCAGAGCCTAATTCCTACACTGGTCCTCGTGTGTCTTCTCTGTCCCGCACGCACACTTCCCAGACCAACCACGGCTGCCACCACGTCCGCCTGGGGTGGCAGGCCGCCCTCCGCGCCACAAGTCAGTCATTGTTAAGTGCTGTGCTGTTGGTCGGTGACGATGGTCACGGCTGGGGAGAGGAAGGGACCTCAGTCTGTGGCTGGTGGGTTCAGGCACCGCCTCACCCAAGCTCTTCGCGGGGAAAGAAAACCTGGACCCCATCAGTCACCTCCCTCTTCAGCTCCTTAGCAAAGGGGCTGAGGTGCACTCTGGGCTCACGCTCAGCTCTTGGTCTCTTCCTGATGCCTCGTTCTGCCCCTCCACAATCCCACTGGGAGTTCCAGCCTGGTTCCGTGCACCCGCTCCCCGCCTCCGACGTGAGCTCTCCTGCCTCCGACTTCATCGAGCATCCCAACTACTCATGTGGTTCTGAAGGTCAGGTTAGGTTTGTGGATAATCTGGGCACAAATAATCGGGATAATCTGTGTTTCTTATCTCCCTTCCCAGACTAGACGCTGCACGGGGGTGGGAACCTGGTCTTCATACTCCTTTCTTAAGGAAGACCTACCATTTAGGGGTTTTTAAAAATCCTCATCATTGGCTACTCCCCTCAACCCATCACCTGACCAAAAGAGGCGCTCCGTTAAGTGCTGACTTACGTGCTGTCGACCATAAATAAGTATTGCTCTGCTCACTGAGGGCCTTGCTAGGCACAGGGGCAAGAGGGTAAGGAAGCTTAGAGCTTGACCTTGGGATGGAAAAGTGTGTAAACACTGTGGGCAGAGGCAGCGAAATGGAATAACTGGATGCCCTGTCCCACTGCATCTGCCCTCTCCCCAGCCACAGGCATGAGGGGCTCAGGAGGGGCTGACGGAGGTCATCTCCAAACCCCGTCCCCAAAAGGCCTGCACCTGCCGAGCCCCCCGAACCCACAGGGGACTCCTGGGGGCCTCCTCGGGGCAGGCAGAGCTCCTCCTGCCCTGCCCACAGCCAGCAGCTGGTGGTTTAAAATCCTCAGAGCTAAGATGAGTTTTTAGCCTGAAGGTCACAGACTGTAGGATTAGCCCTGTAGCCACTCGTTCATCCCTCAGTAACCAGAACAGCTGTTGAACCCTGCTCCTCCCCAAAACCCTTACAGAGGCTTGAGACTATGATTAAGTCACCCCCCAGCTCTCTCTTCTTCAGGCTGTAGCCACCCCCTTCCCCCAGGGGTATCATTTCCTGAGCCCGCTACTGTTGTAAAACACCTATTATTCACCCTCCATTCCCTCCAAGTTCTCCTCAGGCCTCTGAAATCCTGGGGTCCTGGGCAGACTCTGGCATGGGCTCCCTGACCTGGTTGCATCTGTGCAGGGCCTGAGCAGGGACAACTCTCAACGTCCACGACCTCCCGGGGCTGGTGCCACGCCCTCTGAGAGAAGACTTCTCCTCTGATCACCAGCCAGGATCCTAAGAACACCACGAGCCCCAGGCTGGATGGTGGGTGGAAGCATTAAGGGGCGCTCAGGCTGAGCAGCTCTCAGCGGGCAAGCAGAGGGAAGGAGCGGGCCAGGGTGAGCTCCTGGGGTCGCTCTACTGCACCGGGGAACTCATGTAAGGGAATTCGTGACCCTCAATCAGCTCACCTGGGGAATCAGGAATCGCTCACCAGAGCAGGTACAAGGGGGTATCAGGACCTGCAGCACCACCAGATCACGGTGTTGGGGGGGGGCGGGTGGGCTCCCTTCCCCAAAGGAATGAAACTAAGCCCTGGCAGGACTCTGCTTCTAGATGGCACCAGAAAAGTAGGGAACAGACGCCCAGCCGAGGCAGTGTTTGGGGCGCAGGCAGAGACACGGGGGTGGGGGGGGCGGGCCTGGTCTCCGACTCCGGGTGCAGTGGGAATGGTCCGCTCAGTGACCTCAGCCAGCCTGCCAGGGGCAGTGGGGCCGGCCCTTCTGGGAAAGGGGCCAAGCGAGACGCATGGGCCAAGATGGGCGAGGGAAGAGGGAGGGGTGCGGAGCACTACAGACAATCCAACACCGGAGGGGAGACCAAAGACAGAGACAAAAGATGGCTTACTTTTGAGAGGCGCTTGTGAGACTAAGACCATGCATGCAAAGAAGGTATTTGGGAGATGGGGGGGGGGGAAGAGGAAGAACAAGAAATCAAACGACAAGTTCAGGTGGGAAGCCAGCTCCCGAGCCTCCCGGGGTCCCCTCCCCTCCCCAGGGCCTGTGAGTCCAGCAGGTAAGAGAAGCTTTTGAAGGAGCATCTAGGCAAAGACATCTCCTGCTTCCCAAAGGACTAAGGGGGTGGGGGAGAAGAAAGTCTCTGGGAACCATAAGTAGCCCAGGCCCCCCAGGGCTTATTTTATGCCCCTCCTAAGGCAAAGGCCCGGGGCTCAGGTGGCAACTCTGACACACTTGGGAGGGATGGAGAGCCCTGTCACCGTCCTCTTGGCCGGATGAGTACCAAGTAGGTTATTACCAAAGGTCAGGCAGGGTGATGGCCAGGGCGGAGGTTAAAACGGCATTCCACAACCTTCCCTGAGGACTCCATTCCTGGCACTACAGTTGTCCCAAATAATGTTCCCTTCTACCCCAAATTTGGAAAAGGTAGCAGGGCTAAACAGATGACCCCTCCTGACCCCCAGAGCACCTCTCCTCCAAGTCTCAAGGCCCGTGAGGCTCCCTAGCCCCGAAAGAGAGATAACGGTCGTTGCGGAGTCATTTTTCCAGCTCCCGGGGCCCTCTCGGAGTGCTTAGCTGAGATGATAAAATTTAACTAGGGTCTCTCTCCCCTGCCGGCCCCGCCTCGCCTCACTGAATCAAGGCTATCTCTGGGACACTAGGGGCCGGCCAATCACGTCAGATCCCTGGACGATGGGGTTCTCTGCCTCACTGTCCCCCCAATGCCAGCTTCCCCGCAGCCAGCTAATGGGCAAGGACAGAGTCCCCGGCGGGGTCTGGCTCACCTTGGAGTTCTTGCCACCGCTGCGGCCGGACTGCGAGGGGCAGCTGCGCTGCACACCCTGCTCCGGCGTGGACGGGGACTTGTCCGAGGAGTGGTCTGAGCCCTTCTCCACCATGCTGTCTCCGTCCGGGTTCTGAGGGGGTGGCGAGCGAGACCGCTTCCGGAGGATGGGGGAGCAGGCCGGCGTGCTGCGGTTGGAGTTACTGGCAGTGCTGCAGGGGCAGACAGAGAGAGGGGGCGGGGAGGAGAGACAAGCAGTCAGTGACTGAAGGCCAAAGACGGGTCCCAACGAGCCAGCTCAGGGAGCCAGGGTTCGGGGCTGGGGAGAAATAGGGAGCAAAGGGCCCAGCTATGGACTTGCTGTACCATAATACTGCTGCTGGCCAGGAGGGGGCGGTGGTGTCCACGTGAAATGGAAATAGCAGTAGGAAGGGGTAAGTAGGGCAATTAGACATGGAGAGATTCGTTCACCCAGCCATCCATCCGGCCATGTGTCTGTCCATCCATCCATCAGATACTGTCAGGTCACCCCCGATCCCCCCATTATATGCCAAGAACTGTCTAGGGAACACGGAATTTAAGGTCTGAAAGGCTCATCAGAGATCATATCAGTACTATCAGCTCATTTTATACATGCTGCAAAATCCAGTTTCTACATTTGGTTTTGGAGATATTTGCCCATAAAAATAACAAAAATAATCCCACTTTCCAAAGCATTCACAACATATTATTTCACTGGGTCCTTAAATCATTCCACCAAGGTAGTAATGACAAGTGCCATAATTCCTATCTTTAAAATGAAGACCAGTGCATGGCAAAGAGAATCAAGTGTCCTCTGATCACAGAGGGCTTAGAATTCACTTGCAAAAGGTACCTTGTACATCCCACCGTACCAAATCCCCTCACGTCAAGGCTTATAAAACTGTGTAAATATTTAGCTTGTGTTCTTAATGGACTAGAGGAGATGAAGAAAGGAAGAGGAGAGGGAAATTAAGTGCAGTTAAGTTCTAACAGGTGTTTGCTTTGCTCTGAGAGAATGGAGGAAGGAAAGAGACAGGGGAAGGAAAGGTTATGGAGGAGAGAGACGGGAAACGGGAAGGAAAGCCCACGTGAGACTGGAAAGCCAAAGCAGCACGAGGGGAGGGGGTGAAAAGCCCAAGACCTGGCACAGGGCAGCCAGGGCAGGCTCAGGGCTCTGGGCACAGCCGGATGGATGCGAGGCTGTCAGGGCCCCAGGAAGCACCCTGGGAAGCTGCATCCCCACCTTCCCTCAGCGAGTGGAGTGCAGGGCAGGGAACACTGCCATTTGCATGAAGATCCAGCTGCAACCTCAGATGTCCCACTGGACCCATCTGCAATGAAAACCACGCCCCTTTCAGCAGAACCTTCCACCTGGGGATCCTTGGCAGAGAGAAAAGGAAGGAAGCCCGAAGGCCCAAACCAGCAAGTGCGGGAGGAGGGCAGCAGTGGGGCGAGGGCAGGGCTCTGACTTTTGGAAGGAAACGGATGGAGAGAAAAAGGAGACCAGAGTAAAGGAAGCCAAATGTGACCAGAGGGCGTATGGGGACACTAAGGCCGAATGTTTTGCTTTATCCCCAAACAGAATCTGAATTTGGAAACTCAGTTATAATACCAACAACAACTGTGATTTAGAAAGCGGCTCTTCAAGTTCTCACCCCACCGCCAACATCCTCATCCTCTCCGACTTCTGAACTCATCCACTACCACCTCCAGCCAAACCCTGGACAAAGGAAATTACATTCTTCTCCCTCGGTTGGAAGAGCTGGGCCTTAGAATAGCAGCAAGTGGCTCCTGGGACCCGTCCTGGGGTGGGGGCTGGGGGCCTCGGGATGGTCCGAGGAGCGGAATCAGGCGCTCACCTCTCTGGGGGCAGCCCCGCCCCCTCTCTTGGGCCAATCGCAACCCATGGCCAAACACTCCAGGGCTGAAACCGTCTCCTGGCACAGCTTCACTGGAAGAACAGACAGGACCTCCGCCCCGCACCTCAACTAGTTTGCTCAGAGAAGCGAGAGCAAGGGTGTGGATGACACCAAGTGCACGCCTGTCTCGGACACGCGAACGCACAGCTGGGCTCCTGTCTTTTCCCGAGATAAGGGACATCCTCACACATGGTGATTCCAGACCCAGGAATAGAAAGGAGCTCCCTTTATCCTTCCTCAAACTCTGAATCCCTGAGAAAACTGCCTGTTGAGGAAAGATTCGAGCAAAGGGTAGGCAAAAAATTCCAGCCGGGAGGAAACTCACCCCAACTATCCAAAACCGCATGAATCTCGGGAGCTCGTGGTCGACGTGTCTAGGAGTTCTCCCCGCCTAGTGACCCCACATCAGCTGACCCTCCATGTGCCACCCGACAGGTACCAAAAACTCTGCTTTCAACACTTCAGTCAACAGACAACTTACACTATCACGAGCCATTTTCCTCTCTGTGCTCATAAGGCTGTAGATTTGTGCTGCTCTTGAAAATCTCTCCCTTCTCCCTGAGGACGCACACCTCTCTCTTCTATTCCTCTTGCTGTCTCAGCAGCTGGCTCCTCCCTTGTACCTCCACCTGAAATTTAGTCCTTCCCCAAAGGTGGGCCCTTCACCACCTGAGCCATTTCCCGTTTTCCATGACTTCAACTATGCCTGGAAGCAGAGGACTCCTCTACCTGCTTCTGGTCCTGTTAGCTTCAGCCCAGCAACCTGTTGCCAGCGTGACATTTCCTCCAAGTATGTCTCACAAGCACCTCAGATGCTCAAAACTGAGCTTGCCGTCTTTCCTCCCAAGCCGCCTCCCACTACTGCCCAATCTCCATGGCATCCTCATTTCCTAGTCTCTCAAGCTGCAAGCCCATCTCTTGCATCTCACCCCACAAAAAGTGAGCCACTGAATCCCATCAATCCCATTTCCCTAAAGCTCCCATAACCCATCCTTCCCTTCCACCCCCAGGGCTCGAGTTCAAGCTCTCAGCGCCTCTGGCCTAGACTTTTCTAATAACCTTCTAAGTAGTTTTCTCCTCTCCTTTCTTCTTTCATGCCCATTCACACCTTTGTCCTTGAATCTTTCTAAGTAAAAGCCTGATACTATCTTTCTGGCCCCCACTAGCGTTCCTATTAAAGTCCAAAATCCTCAGAATAGAATTCAAAGCTCTCTACTGAAAATAATTTGACACTTCCCTAGATCTCAATACTTTCTCCTTGTACTCGCTCAAATGGTGCCCATCTTCTCGTCCTACTTATCTTCCCCTGGTTTTCTTAATACACATTCTACTACCCCTGCCCCCTACCCCCGCCAACGGCTCACCACTTGTGCGTGAAGCGCTCTCTCCCTTCCGATGTACCCAGTGGAGTCCTGTTCATCCTGTAAGACCCATTTCAAACCCCACCTTCTCCAAAAAGCTTTTGTAAATCTCCACCACTGAACTGACCAAAGCATTTAACACTTTGGTGTTTAACACTTCACTGGTGGTAAAGTGAAGACCTGCACGCTCCTGGGCACACACCTCTGAGCCTCCTCCCTGCTCAACGGACGCTCTGTAAGTAGTATGAGCTCAGCTAACTCCTGAAGCGAGTCTCATTCTAGTGCACACCCACGGCTTTAACAACCCCCAGGATCACGACAGCTCCCAAATCTGCACCTCCAACCTGCTAATATTAATACAAATAGCTAAAAGTTTAGCAGTGCTTATGAATTCCTGGCACAGTGGCAAGCATTTATTAAGGCCTTCTCTCATTTAATCTTCCCAACCAACCTGTCAAGTATTAATGGATATTACCAGTCCCGTTTTTCAGGTGCTAAATTGAACAACTGGCAGATTAAGTAGCTTGCCCAGAGTCACACACATGGGTAAGTGGCTGGAGAGGCCTAGTCAAACGTAGACCTCTCTGATTATAGAGCTTGTTCCCAGAACCAAGCGCTCAGTAATGTCTGTTTGCTGGGTGACGAGACAGGAGGATATAGATGAACAGGATTGATGGGGAGCTGAACGGATGGAAAGGAAGAAGGAATCAACTTTCGGCCTCTAGCCTTCAATTCATTCTCTACTTCACTGTCAAAATGAACTTTCCACAAAAAGTAAATGGGTCATTTCGGGCCCTCCTCTGCCCCTGGTTAAAGCTCTCTATGCTTTTCCATCTCCCTGGAATAAAATCTGAACTCCAAACTACGATACAGAAGTCCCCCAACTGTCAACTCCAAGCTGCCTTTGAAAGCTCCGGCTTGGTTACTTCTCCCAGGACACATACGGCCTCAGCCATCAATCAAGGCCTATTCACGGATCCCCTGCCACGCTCCGTCACTCTTGCATGTTTTATCAGTCTTTCCCACCCAACGCTTACACTCAAGACTAAGCTCAAGCATCGCCCTCATGCCCCACCCCATGCTCCACCTCCCCTCTGATCCTTCGCTAAACAAGAAGAAATGTTAGGAGCTACGACAGTCCTAACTCAGCAAAATCACAGCTAGACTCATTCGATTCCTAAAACTCTTTGACTTTTACTAAGCTTTTTTATTTATTATTTTTTCCTTTGGCCACGCTGTGCGGCTTGTGGGATCTTAGTTCCCCGACCAGGGATGGAATCCGGACCTCGGCAGTAAAAGTGCCAAGTACTAACCACTGGACCGCCAGGGAATTCCCCCTAAAACTCTTTTAAAAGGCACTCCATCATCCTACAGATTCGGATGTCCTGCTGAGCAAATAAAACCAATTCTTATGAATCTCATAACCTGTAACACTGTTTTTTCAACAAACTCTACAATGTGTGTCATTAATCTGATCCTGCCACCCTTATTAACAATAGTATTACATTATATTTCAAAATCCTTGGATTTTAAAGCTAAAAATGACCTTAGGTTTGCTGTAGAAAGAAAGGAAGACACGGATTTTTTGGAAGGGCTATTGGAGTAAGACCCCCCCCACCTTCAGATTTCAGAATTAACATAGCCAACTCTTAACTTCACATATAAGAAACCTGAGAAATAGAGGTTAAAGGTTAAGTGCCTGGCCAAGGGGATAGGACTTCACATCTGAATCTTCTGTTCCACAAACAATTACTGAGCACCTGGCATAATACTAGGCGTTCAAGTTCATACTGATGAGTCAAAAGGATCCTTGTGCTTGGGACATTATCATCCGGAAGAGCTAGACACGTATTCCTCTCATTTTAATATAAGCACCAATTGGTGTGACAGGAGAGAGGAAAGGAATCTCAG